ATATATATATATATATAATATGCATGCGATGGGTTCCCTCGAGTGTTTCATAAAATTGCATATATATATATATTAATACATTTGGTAAGAATTCCAGCTCTTTGCTGGAAAACATCGACTCAAAACTGAAGGCAGTCTTATTGCATTGCCAGAAGTTCCAGCCGATGAGGTCAAATTTCAAGTAAATAGAAATCCTTCAAGACTTCAAGATTAAGATAGAAGGCTGCACTGATGTTACTCTTGATTCTAGAGGATTGACCACACCGGCTAGAAAAGCTGAAGAAAACGCAACCATCTTTGTGGGATATGATCATGGTTAGCTCTTGCACAAACACTAAACACAACAGGCCCTGATTCTAAAAATGCCTCATCTTTATTTGCTATCTTGCAAGATTTTAGAAAGCTGTTTTCTCTTCTTTTTTTTCTGTGAGTCAGATCTAATCCCAGCCTAGCTTTTTTTTTTTCCCTCCTTTCTTTCTTTCTTTCTTGGCAACAGCGATCAAACCATAAAAGGTATTTCGTGCTGTTTGGAGAAGCTGAGCAATGCTTCCACTCCGGCTTTAATGTTTTCCTTGCAGACTGTCTCTCAAGGGAAAGATGCTGTCCTACATGCTGGCAAGTAGAAATAGCTTAATGTTCAACCAGATTCAATATAGGGTACTTTTTTTCTGGCAACAGTCCATTATCCATCAGAATAATGCCGCATCTGGTACCCAATGGCCATGTCTGAACTTATAACAAAACCAATTCTTTTTCTATGAGACTGAGTCTCAAACTTCCATGTTCCTCCTTGTCTCTTTTCTGGTGGAGACTCAAGACAACGGAGCATTTCACAGCTTCATCTTCAACGAATACAATCTGTTTATTTTATCTGAGAATACAATTTGAGTTCAGTTGGCTCCAACGAGCCAGCTTCGTAATGCGATTGGCAATCCAGGCTTGCTTATTATGTACGCTGATTAAAAACTAAACCCACGTTTCCTAATTCAGACAAAAATCTGCCAATGATTCTATTCACCTCCTTGCAATCACATTGGAAAACAAAAAAGGAACGCTGTTCAAAATATTAAGCTAGGTTTCCACGTTTTTGTCTGAACCAGGCCGTTCTTTTTTTTTTTTTAAATAAGGATTTTGTTAGAATTGTGCTATTTAAGAAAATCACGCTGTCCTTCACTTCCTATTTTACTCAAAGCATCTGCCTTCTCATGCCTGCCAAAAGAATCATTTGCAATTTCCATTTTGGCATGTGCTATGGAATTGACACAGCTACCCAATCTGCAACATTTAGAAATGTTTTCAGGATTAGCGTTTAGGCTACCCTATTTCAGGCACTCAAATACAACTTTCTTTCTTATTATTAATTCCTCTATCTCTGTATGATATTCTTTTGTATGCCATTCCTTTGCTAGTCTACCTGCAGCAGAACCCAAGATATTATTCCGGTGACTATTATATACAGATAAAGGACCTACTTAGTGCAATATTACATAATTTATGTTCAGCTCTGGCAAATATTAGATCAATTGCCTCCAATTCCTTCAGCACATGTTGCCTTAGATTCTTGATCTTTGTTTAAGCGTCTTTTAACCTCAGAAACAATCTGGTGAATGACCAACAAGAGAAAAGAAAAAGAATCTGTGTTGGTTGCTTAAAGGAGTGGGAGGTTTTTTTTAGAAAAAAAAAGCAAAAAAAAAAAAGAGAGAGAGAGAGAGAGAGAGAAAGTTTTCAACAGTACTATACATCCCATACGAAAAGGCTTAAAGGAGCCAAATAAAATTGTCTGATAAACTATACAGAATTTTTAATCTTTTTAAACAGATGGTTATGAAATCTAACCTAATGATTCTGTGGTAGCTCAAGTATTAAAAAAAGCAAGTTACCTAAAGATTTCATGTGATATTAATCCACAGTGCATAAGTAGCGATACCTTCTAATAGTTTCCACTCGTTCAGGTGCCCAATTTAGCAAAGGAATTAGAATAATTCTCCACACCGATCCCCATGTATCCATCACCATCCTCCAAATTATCAGTAACCCTTATCTATTTTTTTATTTCTTGGGCTGGGAGTATTCCTTTGGGTGCCCTCCTGCAGAAGCCCCATTGTTCTAAATATGTACAATGCCAGGTCACTTCCTTAGGAAAAGAAGATAGAATGTGCTATTACTCTATTTTCTGACTCTATCCTCAAGTCAGTTTTCTCACCAGTTTTTTTTCTTTTTTTCTTTTTTAAAGTCACTATTTTTACACTTTGGTGCTAAACACATTTACTTGCAAATAAGTTCTGTTGATGTCAACAGAATATAGTTCCAGGAATGAGTGTTTATTTAATCGCAAATGTCTTTTAACATGTGTGGGACTAAAAAGCATAACAATGAATCAGTTTCTCCCACACAGTCTGACATCAGTGGTGTCAGCAAGACATATCATCCGGGCAAACCCGAAAACTTCAGATGTCTCTTTTTCAAACTGAGCCTTGAAACAGGAAGCAAAAATCCATTGTGAGCAACTGAATAGATTCTCCTTTCTGAATTTTGCAAAACCCTAACCCTAACTGAAGATGTCTTCCCCATTGCTTAGTACAAGAATGATTGTTTTGCTGCAACTGGAGAAAAATATACAGAATTCTTATGGATTCCAGTTTTATTTGGAAACAGGGGCATGAAATAATTCTGTACTGTTTATTACAAAGCTTGCTATCCAGTTGAGAAATGGGAGGAGGGACAGGTCTCCGAGGGACTCCAACACATCAAAACACTTCTAAAAAATACTCCATCTACGCTATACAAATTCTAGACCTCCCTCTTGAAAAGCAGGAGTTCAGAAGTTATCCACAAAAACCTTGTTTCTCAAGATCTGGCCATCTCGAGATGCCAAGCCTCTTGAGTGCTGATACATACATGCTCTTCCAGGGAATTTGCTACGGATTTGTGATTTTAATCCCGTACGGACATCTTTTAAAAAAATACACACATTAAAACCCAACCCTGTAACATGAGCAGACAACAAACTGGGGGCCCAAACAATTTGTGGGTATCTGATAAACAACATAGAAGGAATCAGCGTGAGAAAACAATGATGCTCTGTTCTCAGGGTGGCTAGTTACGCAGATGTTGCCAGATGCACTTCCTTGCCATCTCAGCCCAGCCCTGTGTTAAAAGTTTCCTGGACAGAATTATGCTATTAACTTTGATAACACCGTTATCAAGTCCATCGTAGGAGAAGGAGAGCGTGGAATTTCACCTCAAATCCCTTTTAACAAGTATTCCAAGAGCTGCCAAGTATTCTTAAGAGTCATTTCTTCAACAATGCAACCTCTGCAGGGGTCTAAAAAAAAATATAGCACCTTGTTTCAGAATTCTGGTCCAAAATTCCAGAAGCGTTTTGGAAAACGCTAGCGTGCAAACTTTTGGAAATGACTCAAGCTAGAAAATGGCCATTTTGCATCCTGGGAGGGGTGGGGTGGGGGCACCAAAGCCTCTTCTAATGGACCTTGCCTTACTCCGTGGACCCATCAGCCACAGCAAATCTGTACCATCACTTAAGAAAACAGAAAGTCAGCCGTGAGATAAGTTGGGCTAGCTAAAGCTTCGAACAAGTGATGCAATGAAATTTAAGCACTCGGGGGCCTCCAGAAAACATGCCAGCTTAACTCCTGGTCCCTTCAGCGTGACTGTGATTAAATAAAGGATTTCTTTGGGTTTCTGTACCAGCCTGAACCATCCTTCCCCTCCCCCCCCAAAAATAATTCTGAACTACTGCACGATTGGCAGCCGGCCAGCTCAGCCAACGCAGTCCCGTAGCGCCATCTAGAGGCACATTCTTGCATTCTAATTTCGTGGCGGAAGACAAGCACCAATGAAATGAATTAAGACAGCACTGCATTTAAATCTTTATTAGCCAGGAATGATTTTTTTGACCTAGATCATCACTGTAAGAATAAGAATCCCCCCCAGTCCCCTAATACTGAATTCTGGATGAAATATGAAGTTCCTTGACCTATTTTTTATTTTCAAATGGCAAGATTTCATAGCTTTAAAATGACTCATGAAAACTCCCTTATGGGCTAATAATAATGTCTTTGCAATGGAGTGAATCTTTTTTTTTCCCCTGCATAATTCATGGTGACTTTTCTTTTTCCTCAGTTATAAACAAATGCATTCCTCTTGAAGGTGTACTTTGGCCATATAAAACAGGAAGGTGAACGAAATAAAAGCAAATACACAAATAAAATGCAAGTTTTCTTTCTTCCTTAACAGACACGTAGTTGTACAACTACACAACTGAAACCACTGTAATTCAGAACAGAGGAACACGTCCTCACAGCTTCGTTGTCTCCTAGCCAACCCAACACAGTGCAACACAACTTTTGAATCTTGGGGAAGACAAAAATCTGCTCCTGAAAACGGTAACGTAACAAGTGGTTCCAGATCAGCAGGGAAATAAACGGGGTGGGAGGAAGCCGTCAAACCAGCCTCCTGTGAAAATACAACTTTTCTTCAATTGGAAATTAAGATATTTAACCCTGAAACATTTTGGTCCATCTAATATTCCTCCCACCCCCACCCCTTGGTCTGAATCTGGCAGAGTAAGCCCCATTCTTAATCTTCCGTAATGTCCTACCCTGATATGTTTTTGACAAAAAAAAACCATGACACCATTGCTTCTAAGCACTAGTCCTTGTACCTGTGTGCGTGTGTGCATCTCTGTTGGTGAACGGGTGTGAATGAGTGCGTGCGTGCCACTTGTCCTAAAAGCAAAGCCAAAAAAGTTGGTGACGTATCACTTTTTGGGATCACGATTTGTTTTTGTTTTTTTCATTTATACCAATGCATAGTCCTGGGAGGTGAGAAACCTTTGTCACCCCCTTGTTCTCTCTCTCTCCTTAGTAAAAACTAAGCTAAAGTTATCCCGAAGGCCAAGAATTCCCCCTGGCACTTTAATACTGGTTGAGTGGGCACTTGTATGCAGTACTTATAGACCAGTAAAAGTGCTCGTTTACCTGTCTGGTGTGTAAGGGGCCTTTAGTCTTGAAGCCTCCTTGCGAACTGCACTCTGAGGCACTGAAGTGGTCTGAACTAGTGGAAGAGCGTTTGGAAAGGGTGTCACACCCTCCAACAAAGGTATTGTCCAAGGGGAGCTCCTGAATCACGTGATGCTTTTTCACCGAGATGGGAGTGTCCGGCTTAAGGTGGAAAGCAGACTGCGGAGAGGCAGATTTATAATGCTTAGCGAGATCAGGGCTGTTAGGCTTAAAGGTGGTGGGTGGCGCAGTGCCCCAGTCAAATCTTCCTATACTCTGCTCCTCCAGCTCAGCTGGAAGGCTAATGGTCCCGTTGATAGGTTCGTGAACAGCATCCTCGGGCTTGGACTCCTCGATGGTCACAAAATTCAACAGGGAACTCTTAGGGGATTTCCTTTTCTTCCGCTTCTTCTTCTTGTTCTGCTTGTTCTCCTGGTTGGGGGACATCCACTCGGCCCCTTGCTTGCTCCTCTGGGCAGCTTTGAACCTGGAGGCGTGGCGACAACGGACCAGCACGGTGACGAAAATGACCACGATGACCACCATGGCCCCTGCCACGATGGCGATCATGATGGTAAGGTAGTCCTCGTTTTGGTAGGGCTGGCTGCTGTCCCCAATATTCCTATCCAAAGGGGTCTCCATAGTCCTGCGGATCAGGTCATAAATATAAGAGGCGTTTCCCGCAGTGTCATTGACATACAGAAACACAAGGACAAGGGTGTGCAAGGATTTAGGATAGCCCAGATCGCTAATGTTGACCACCAACCGATGCAAGCCTACATCGGTTGGAATCGGTTTCTCTTCCAGGGTGATGTTACCCGTCACAGGATCAATACGGAACAAGCCTTTGTTGTTTCCACTGACTATTGTGTATTTCAGTTCAGCATTCATTCCCGTGTCAATGTCAACAGCAAACACTTCCGCTACCACCGATCCCGGGATAGCTGAGAGAGGTACCAGCTTAAAAGACGTGTTGGAAGGGGGATAGATGACCACGGGGCTATTGTCATTAACATCCATCACATTGATGGTGACCTTAGCGGTTGAAGAGCAGGGTGGCTGTCCTCCATCGATAGCCTTGACATCAAAGGTGTAGGAACTTTGTTGCTCGCGATCGAAAGACACGTTAGACTTTATAACTCCAGAGTAAGGATCCAGAACAAAGTTCTCATTGTCATTCAAGATAGAGAGAGTCACAGCTTTATTCTCGCCCGCGTCTGCGTCCGTCACTGTGATCACTCCTACAGTACTATACTTTGGTAAGTTCTCCGACACAAAAAACTGAAAATGGTTATGCGTGAATTTGGGACTGTTGTCATTCTCATCTAGCACCGTAACAATCACAGCCGCTTGGCTCTGCAAGGGAGGGGTCCCGTTGTCTCTGGCCGTGACTGTAAAAATGAACCTCTCTTGTTCTTCTCGGTCAAACACCCGGGAAGCTGTCAAAACCCCCGTCTTACGGTCCAGATCAAAAAAGGAGGCATTGGGGCCAAGCTGATACACAATGTCTGCGTTCTTACCACTGTCCTCATCGGTGGCGCTAATAGTGGTTAAGTAGAGACCCCGCCGATTGTTTTCAGAAACGGACAGCTCAATAACAGGCTGGCTAAAGATGGGAGGGTTGTCATTTTCATCCTCCAATTTGACTCTGACTAAGGCCGTCTGGTTCAAACTGGGTTTGCCCGAGTCAGAGGCCACTATTTTAAAGCTGAATTCTTTGGTGCCCTCATAGTCCAGCAAGGAAGAGGTCTCTAACAAGTACTGGTTGTCATAAACGGCCTTCAAGTGAAATGGCACCTCTCTTTCGATGAAACAGATGACTTTGCCATTCACGTCAGTGTCCTTATCTGAGACGGTTATCAGCGCAATCTTGGTATTGACAGGGTCTTTCTCAGATAAGTACACCGTGCCGTTGATGGGGCTTATGATGTACCTGAGGTCTATATTAGGAGGGTTATCATTAACATCAGTCACATTGATGGTAACGGTGGCCCGGGCAGGAGTTGAGCTACCATCACTGGCCAAGACTGTCACCTTGTGGATGGCAGTCTCTTCTCGATCTAAGGCCCTCTGAACTGTGATGAGCCCAGTGGTGTTGTTTAAAGCAAAGAGTCGTTTTGTTGCCGGAGCAACCTGGGCCCCAAAAATATATCTGATTTCTGCATTGCTTCCCACATCTGCATCTGTGGCATGGAGCTGGAGGACAGAGGTCCCTACCGGGGCATTCTCAGGTATATGGACTTCCACCTGGCTCTCTTTAAAAACTGGCCTGTTATCGTTGACATCACTTACTGTGACCTGAAGGATGGCTGTGCTGGATTTCTGGGGTGTTCCTCCATCCTCCACCTTGATTTTCATCACATAGGTATCTTTCTGTTCCCGGTCCAGATTTTGCTGCACGATCAACTGAGGCCACTTCTCCCCTTCCGGAGTTTCCACAATATCCAACCCAAAGACACTTTGCCCATTCAGAAGTTCGTAATGCTGGACTCCGTTGAAACCAGTGTCGGGATCCGTGGCGGAGGGGATGGGGAAGCGGCTGTTGATCAGCGTGTTTTCAGGGATGGAGATGTTGATGACAGGGGATGGAAACATGGGGGCATTGTCGTTGGTGTCCTTCACGATGATTTTGATCTTGATCAGCCTGAAAAAGTCATTGGGCAAGATCACCACCTCCAGTTCGAAGAAGCACTCGTTCTCTTCCGCATAAGCAGCCCCGGCACACAGTCTCTCCCGGTCGATGCGGTTGGAGGTGGTGAAGATCTCCCCCGTGGTGCTGGAGACTTTCACCAAAGGGGCATCTCCTGCTTTGGAAACCAGCCTGTAGACGAGACTAGAGCTGGTTCCGGTGGCAGCATTGATGTGAGAAATGTTCAGATCCTTTGGTATGTTCCCAATGGGCACGTTTTCAGGCAATTCCTCTCGGATGGTGTAAATAAGTTCTTGAGCGACAGCAGAATCCAGCTGCAAGCAGGCAATCAGAGCAGCCAACAGGTAAAAATCCCTCAGGTCCATGATAATCTGTTTATAGATCCTTCTTCAGGGTTTTAGGGTTCCAAGAGGTCCACAAAGGAAGGCTGAGTTCTTTGCCAAAGGAAACTGGTCTGGCTGCATCACATCCAAGCTCTGACTTCCCAACAGTCCCTGCCGACAAACACAAGGACAACAACATTTTGTAAAGAAGCGTTGATTTCAAAACGGTATCAGACACACACACACACACACACGCACACACACAAACAGAGAAACACTGCCACCTGCTTCCATTTCTTGCTTGTGTTATGTGTGCGTGCGTGAGAGTAATTCCCGCTTCATGAATGCACCAATATACCGCCACTAGCGCCGAGTGCATACTGAGAATGAAATTAACTAGTTACAAGATTGAGTCGAGGGGTGGGGGGGGGGGGAAAGAGAGAGAGAGAGAGAGACGCAGATGCAATTCACACTGACACACACACACTCGCACAAACGCACACAGACACACAAAAAGGCAGGCACACTTGCTCTCATCAGCCCACAGACCCCGAGTAGCATTCGCTCCGCTTATTTCACCTCCCGCCCTTCGATTGGAGGCAAGTTAAAAAAAAAGGGGGGGGAGCAGGGAAAGGAAAGGAGCCCAAGCTTCTTGGAAGCATGTTTCAGCCCCCCCCCCCCCCCCCCCCCCCCCCCACTCATAATTAAATTACCTAGCCTGGTTGTGTTGCCTTTGATAGTCTGGTCTCAGCTGCAGAAAGAGCTTTCCAGACAGATCACGGTTTTTGCAAACCTTTACAGCCTCGGCTTGTTTGCTGGCTACTTCCTAACCTTTTTTTTTTTTTTACCGAAAGGAGGGAAAGGCAAAGGACTTCTCCTGCTTTCCCACCCCAGACAGGACCAAACCTCACCTTTCTCCAGATGTGGTGGTCTAATAGTTGTGGAGGAGTGAAAAAAAAAAGGGGGGGGCTGAGCTTTCTCCATCCCTTACCCTCCAGTCCTCAAACCTCCCACCCCCCTCCATCCCCATGCAACTTCCAAATAAACAGAGAAGATGGGGCTAGGAAGGGGGGGGTCTGGAAAGCCACTGGGCAGCTGCCCAACAGCTGTTTACAAAGGCAGAGGCAGAAATGGGGGAGGGGTGGGCTTTTCTGGCGTTGGGTGGCAGAGCCCCTCGGATGCCCTTCCGCTGGGCTCTCAGCAAAGCCGCTGCCAGGCATAAATACCGCAGCTCTTACAAGAGTGCTGGGTCAGAACCCCAGAGCGGAGGGAGCGACTGGAGGCAGGCAGGCAGGGAGAGCTGGGGGCGCCCCTATAGATTGGGGAAGGGGAGAAGGGGAGAGGGAAGAGTTTGACCAGAGCTCCCACTTGCATCTGCATTAAAAAGCACCGCGGCGACGCCGGCGCTCTCCTAACCTTAGCTTGACGCAGGCGAAACATAAAATAAAAAATAATAAAAATAAAAAACCGGGAGGGATGGAGGGATGCTGGCACCTTCTCTTCATCTCTTCAACCCCCCCCCCAACCACCCAGCCAAGAGGAGGAAAAAAATTCCTCTCTCTTTCTCTCTCTCTCTCTCTCTCTCTCTCTCCCCCTCTCCCTGAGATCCTGGCTCCCATTTGCAACCGACCCCCCCCCCACCAACTCGCCGCCCCGTTCCCAGAGCTTGCAACTTTGCACTTACGTTGCCGCGGCTCTTCCAACTGCTGGAAGCCAAGCGGGGAGCCGGGCGGCCCTCCTCCTCCTCCTCCTCCTCTTCCTCTTCCCCTTTCTCCTTCTCCTCCTCCTCCTTCTTCTTCTTCGGCAGCTTCTTCCCCAGCTCTCCGGCGGCGCATTCGGGGACGCCCCCCCCCCACAAGTCGGCGAAGCGGAGAGAAAAATCAGCGAGCGGCGACGGGGAAGAAGAAGAAGAAGAAGGCCGGCGAGGCTTCCCGACGGAGCCCGACGCTGGAACCCGGCGGTGGCAAATCCGCAAGTCCCGAGAAGAAATTCCCCGCTCCGTCCGGCTTAGGCGTCGTCATCCTCCTCCTTTTTTTTTTATTCCTTCCTTCCTTCCTTCCTTCCTTCCTTCCTTCCTTTCCTTTCTTTTCTTTTCTTTTCTTTTCCTTTCCTTCTGGCTTGGCCGGCTGGAGAGATGCTCCGAGTGGAGGCTCGGTCCCGTTTGCTTGGGGTGGGCGGTGGGGGGGGGGCGGTTCAAGCCCCTCGAGGCAGCCAGCCCGCCAGCCAGCCAACCCGAGGCGCTTCTCTGCCTCTCAGCTCCGGAGCTGGCCAGCACCGTCCCCGCCGGTTCCCCATGCCGCGCTCATCGGCGGGAGCGCCCGCAGAGCCTCCTCCGGGAGACGGAGCCCCAACTTCGCCCGGTGAAAAGGGTCCAGAAGGTCCAAAGACCCCCACGCGCGCCTGGGCTGCCCTTCTCTCGCCGCCTCGTCCCTCTCCTGCCCCGTCCAAGGTGCCTCCGGTTCGGTGGCTCGCGTCGCGGCTCTTCTCTCTCGCCTGCTTCTCTCCGAACTGGCTTTCTTGATATAACTCTCGCTTAAGCCCAGAGGGAGGGCGTGGACGGGGAGAAGCCACGCCCCCCGCCTGGCCGCGGGTTGGGTGGACGGGGGGAGGGGGCGGGGCGGTTGGGGGGAGGGGTAGGAGGAGGAGGGTTTTTTTTTCTTTTTTTTTTTTTTTTTCTTCCCCCAACTGGCCCGCCCGATACGACGAAGGGCGCGTCGGTCAGGGCCTGGAGGCGGCCGAGCGGCGAGCGCTTTCGCTTGCCGCGGTGCTGAATGGCTCAAAGGAGGCGGCTGCTGCTGCCGCTGCTGCTGCGGTAGCGACGGAGGAGGAAAAATTAGGGGGGAAAGGGGAGGAGGAGGAGGAGGAGGAGAGAGGGGGAGAGATGGAAGAGGAAAAGGAGGGAGGGAGGGAGGGGAGAGGAGGAGGGGGAGAGGTGGAAGAGGAGGAGGGAAAGGGGATGGAGGGAGCAGGAGGAGAGATGGGAGAGGAAAAGGGGGAGGGAGGGAGGGAGGAGAAGGAGGAGAGAGGGGGAGAGGTGGTGGAAGAGGAGGAGGAAAAGGGGATGGAGGGAGCAGGAGGAGAGATGGAAGAGGAAAAGGGGGCAGGGAGGGAGGGGAGAGGAGGAGGGGGAGAGGTGGAAGAGGAGGAGGAAAAGGGGATGGAGGGAGCAGGAGGAGAGATGGAAGAGGAGAAAGGGGGGAGGGAGGGATGGGAGAGGAAGAGGAGGGGGAGAGGTGGAAGAGGAGGAGGAAAAGGGGATGGAGGGAGCAAGAGATGGAAGAGGAAAAGGGGGCAGGGAGGGAGGGGAGAGGAGGAGGGGGGAGGTGGAAGAGGAGGAGGGGGGAGGAAAGGGGGAGAGGAGGAGGGGGAGAGATTTTGAAGAGAAGGAAAAGAGGGGAGGAGGAAAAGGGGGGAGGAGAAGGAGGAAAAGGAGAGGAGGAGGAGGAAGATCGACCACCCCGATCACCTTGATTCAGCTCGGGATCCTCTTTTCGTCCCCCCCTACCCACCCACCTACCCACCCCCCAACTCCCAGCGCTTGGCTTCGGTCCGCCAATTATTCAGCCGGCTTCCCTTTTCCGGAGAGGCAAGAGCTTCCCTGAGCATGCCAAGAGCGCTTCGTCTCGCCAAGCGCAACCGCCCGGCTTTGAGTAGAGGGCGACTGAAGCAAGCAGAACGAAGCGCCCGGACGCACGACCGGAGGAGCCACCGGAGGCGGCAGATGCGTCTCTTTGCGGCTGTCTCCCCCACTCTCCGCCGCCGCCGCCGCCAGCTTCTCGGGATTGGGACCTTGGCTCAGTTCGGTTCCTAGGAAGGAAGAGGGAGCCCTCCATTGACTTGCAGGGTGGGTGGGTGGAGGGGAGAAGGATCAACAAGCCGCGGGATCGACTCTGCTGTGAGAGAGATGCTGATCTGGTGCTTCCCCACCACAGCTCTTGGCTCAGCCAAAGGAGGAGCTCCGAAGAGCTGCTCCCCCAGGCAAGCTCAGGAAAAGGGAAATCCGCGGCTTTCCAATTAAGGAACTTCTGGGCCATCCCTCCTTCCTTAGGGGGGAAACGGTAAGCAACCTGTTTGCAAGCAGCAGAAGAGGAGAGATAGCAGGGAGCAGCAAACAGTGAGGTAAGGTAACCCTTTGTTCCCAGAAGGTCACTGTTGACTCTACCTCCCATTGAGAAGTCTCAGAGGGGAAATGCAACCAGCAATTAGTTGCTTTCCAACCTCACATCACAGGACTCCTTGGGGTATCGACGTGGAGAATCACCCCGCCAAGCGCCAGGAAGCCAACGCCGTTCAACTCATTCATACAAGAATGGAAATCAGGCTGCAAACTGGTGACCAGGATTGGGGCTGCTTCAGGATACCCCTTTAGCCAGCAATGCAAGTTTAGCCAGCAATGCAAGTTTCATCAGGCTGAACCTGGTTGACAAATTGGAGCAACAAAGAGCAAAGTTGGACTGTGCTTCCTAAATTATGACAGAGTTTAATAAAATAATAATAATAATAATATTTCAGTTGATTTTTCTCATCTGGTTCCTGATCTCTCGCGCCCGTTGACATTTGTGACTCATCATCATTTGGAATTTCTGGTTAGAGCAGAAGTTTGGCGGTATGGCAGCTTGACTTGCAGAGATATTTAGTCCTAGGTGACTTGTTGACTGGCAGCCACAAGTGAAAAGATGAAAAAGTCAGGGACAAATCCCTTGAAAAAAAAATAACAAAGTTAAAAAAAAAAAAACCACAATAGAAATAGTAAAGAAAAATAGTAAATGGGGGGAAAAAAGGAAATGAGGAGGGGAGGCAAGAGGATATGAGAAAGGAAAGGAAAGGAAAGGAAAGGAAAGGAAAGGAAAGGAAAGGAGATAGAAGAAGGAAAGGAAAGGAAAGGAAGATAGAAAAAGGAAAGGAAGATAGAAGAAGGAAAGGAAAGAAAGATAGAAGAAGGAAAGAAAGGAAGATGGAAAGGAAAGGAAGATAGAAGGAAAGGAAAGGAAAGAAAGGAAGATAGAAGGATGAAAGGAAAGGGAAGGGAAGGAAAGGGAAAGGGAAAAGAAACGATTATAAGGAAGCAACTTCTGATCTTCTTGATATTTATATTTGTGTCCCCCGCTCAAAGTTACACCATAAATCCCTTTCATCCATAAAGTACCCTTTCTAATTTTCAAACCCAAAATCACACATTCATTTTTTCCCCCTCCAGCTAGAAGTCCATGCCATAAGGGGTTTCCACTAAACTGATAAATATAGACATAGACCTTTCGCTAATCAAACCAGTCAACTTTGCAGTCTCTGCCAGATGTTCACCAACCATTCCTCCATGGTGGCTATTTCAGAGTCTTTCCATTTCCATGCCGCTTCAAAACAGAAAGAAAGAAAGAAAGAAAGAAAGAAAGAAAGAAAGAAAGAAAGAAAGAAAGAAGAAAGAAAGCCATGGGCATAACTACAAAGTCAGCCAGATTGGGTCTGTCTCTTTGATGGAGACTTGACCTGAAGTTCTGCCTGAGGGGACAGCTGTAATCAAGTGCTTTTCCAAGGAGGCTGATGGAGTTTTGTCGTAACCCCCCCCCCCGACATATTTCAGAAACAAATGTCTTAGGACAGTGATGGTTAACCTTTTTCGTACAGAGTGCCCAAAGCACATGTGCATGTGCGCAAATGCATGTGCACATGACCGAACCCCCAAAATGCAATGCAAGTGCCCCCAATGCATGCACCCCCCGTGCATGCAGCCCAGGCCCCCCGTGCCCCGTTTTGGCTTCTAGATTAGTGCAGGAGGCTTTCCAGACCCAAAATGGGGTGTGGGGGGGTTCGTGCGGCTCCCCTGTGCCCCATTTTGGCTTCCAGGTTGGTGCAGGAGGCCTTCCAGACCCAAAACGGGGTGCAGGGGGGGCCCAGCAAGCACAAACCCCCAAAATGCAATGTGAGCATACACACCCCGCACATGCATGGCAGAGACCCAAAAACCAGCTGGCCAACGGGAGGCGCGCGTGCATGCGTAGTGAAGCTGGGCTGGGGCGATGGCTGGCATGCCCGCAGAGAGGTCTCTGCATGCCACCTGTGGCACTCATGCCATAGGTTTGCCATCACGGTCTTAGGAGAACTGAGTCTACCCTGCAAAGCTTTTGGCTGTCGTGTGTTCATGGGAATTCTACTGACTGAACAGGGTATTTAAATATCTAAACCAGGGGTGTCAAACTCGATTTCATTGAGGGCCGCATCAGCAGTGGTGGGTTGCCCCTGGTTTGGACCGGTTCGCAAGAACCGGTAGTAAAACCGGCGGGAGGCCCCTCCCACCACCCCGGATGTCATCATCGGCAATCTGTGCATGCACAGAAGCAAGGCATAAGCACGAGTGAAGCGAGAGTGCGCGCACGAGCCCACTGCGAATCGGTAGTAAGGGTAAGTAGAACCCACCCCTGCGCATCAGGATTGTGTTTGACCTTGGGGGGGCAGGGGGGGCATGGCCAGCTTGACGTCACTTGTGTCAGGGGCGCCTGCGGTGGCCCGAGTGCACTATGGACCGGTCCTTCACTGTTTCCAGGTCAGCCCCACAGGCCAGATCTAAGCACCCCATGAGCCAGATCGGGGCCCCGGGTCTTGAATTTGACGCCCCTGATCTAAACCATGTTTATTTATTTTAATCAATTAAGTTGGTGGCTGCCCCACTCTAACATGACTCCGGAGCTTACAATTTAAAAGAAAGGAAACAAATAGAATCTAAAGCATCTGGACAACAATATCCCACAATCATCCCACCAAAGCAGGGGTGAAATCCAGCAGGTTCTGACAGGTTTTGGAGAACCGGTAGCAGAAATGTTGAGCAGTTCGGAGAACCAGTAGGGGAAATTTTGAGTAGTTCGGAGAACTGGCATATACCACCTCTGGCTGGCCCCAGGAGTGCAGTGGGAATGGAGGTTTTGCAATAGCCTTCCCTCAGGAGTGGGGAGGGAATGGGGATTTTGCAGTATCCTTCCCCAGGAGTGGGATGGGAATGGGGATTTTGCAGTATCCTTCCCCTGCCACGTCCACCAAGCCACACCCACAGAACCGGTAGTAAAAAAAAAAATTGGATTTCACCACTGTACCAAAGGTGTGGAAGACCAGCTCTGTTTTAAGACCTCCAGAATATTTTTAGGAGATAAACACATGGATTTCTTCTGTAGGCTTTGTTTATTTGCTAACCTTGAGAAATAAGATAACTTGGGATTTCCTCAGCATTGTATGGAACTGGGATGTTTTGCTCCCTGGTTGATTATTGACCAGATACCTTGGTTGAAGTCCATATTTGACTTGATTCAAGAGATTGCTTCCTTTATTCTACTCAGAGCGGGTCAAGAAGATAATGCTATTTATAGCTCTCATATTGGACGACGGAAATGCAAAGCAAGAGAGCTTTGGAGCTTTTGACAGCAATACCTTGAACATGTCATTCCCACATGTCAGCTGGAGGAATACAGGTTAAAAGGCAGCGGAATAGATTAGGTGTACAAAATGGCTAACAAGGAGTACTGACAAAGCAAATGTTAATGGATTATTCTGGTTTGGAGAAGA